TTTGAGATTTACTTTGTTAGTCTTTAAAACGTCTTATAATATTGGTTTTTCATTAATTATGACCATATAGACCATGGTGAATAGGTAGCATAATAACACAAAGTGTGAAGAACAAATAGGAATATGAAAATGCTCAGAAAACTATAATATCCGTTTAAATCTTAAAGTTTTTAAAAATTGTTCCTTGTTAAAGATAAAGGTTGGTGTTCTTTTTGCAATAAAGAAATACAAAAAACTAACTCACTGCCACTGAAGTAGATTCTGACTCATAACAACTCCCATTGGGTTTCTGAGGTGGTAAATCTTTACAGAAGTAGATTGCCCAGTCTTCCTTCCATGGAGTGGCTGGTGGGTTCAAACTGTCAACCTTCTGGTTAGCAGTCAAATGCCTTAGGCACTATGCCACCAGAGCTCCCTAATAAAGAAATGGTACTCACTGCTGCCGAGTAGATCCTGACTCATATAATAAAGAAATGTTGTTGTTGTTGTTGTTATGTACCGTCGAGTCGGCCCCGACTCATAGCGATCCCTCCTTGGGTTTCCGAGGCAGTATCACTACGGAAGTAGGATTGCCCAACCTTCCTTCTGAGGAGAATAAAGAAATAGCAAAGAAAATAAAATCAGAAGACTCAGGTGAAACTCCTGTTAAAAACTGAAGGATTTATAGTTTGTTCTTCTTTAATTGATTATTTGAGAAACCACTTATTTACTCTCTGTTTCTCCCCTACTGGACTGTAAGCTAATTTGGAGCTAAGGACTATATCTAATCTACCTTTTTAGTGCCTAGCAGAGTGGCAGGCATTTAGAAGGCATTCAGGGATTTATTTATATAAATGAATGGATTGTGTGTGATTGAAATTTTTTCCCCTTTCTTTATGATTATAAAGGAATACCTACTTTTATAAAGTAGGAAAATATTACTACCTTCCCTAGCCTTTGTTACTTGTAACATTTTAGTACCTTTCTGTTCTCTTTTCTATGCTTGTTTAAATTGTTGAAACTGTATTATAATATATATCTATAGATTTATGCCTTTTGTGAAGAACAAATAGGAATGTGAACATATTCAGAGAACATTTAAAACCTTATTAAAACTTAACAGCTTATTTTCTCCTTGATATTATACGAATGTGCTTTGTCATGTGATTTATAAATATAATTCAGAGTGACTGTTCCATTGTTTTATGCTGAGTTCTCTAGAGAAGCAAAACCATTGAAGCATATATGTTTTTTTTTTTGTTGTTGTTATATGCCGTCGAGTCAGCCCAGACTCATAGCGACCCCTCCTTGGGTTTCCGAGGCTGTATCACTATGGAAGTAGATTGCCCAACCTTCCTTCCGAGGAGTGGCTGGTGGGTTTGAACTGCCAGCCTTCTGGTTAGCAGTCGAGTGCCTTAGGCACTATGCTACCAGAGCTCCTATGTTGTTGTTAGGTGCCAGCAAGTGAGATCCAACTCATAATGACCCCATGTACAACAGAAGAACATGGCAACCCCATTCCTGTACCATCCTCACAATTGTTACTATGTTTGAGTTGCAGCTACAGTGTCAATCCATCTTGTTTAAGGTCTTCCTCTTTTTCACTGACCTTGTACTCTACCAAGCATTGATGTCCTTCTCAAGGGTCTGTTCCCTCCTGATAGCATGTCCAGAGTATGTGAGACAAAGTCTTTCCATCTTTTCTTCTAAGAAGTATGCTGGCTATACTTCTTCCAAGACAAATTTATTTGTTCTTCTGACAGTCCATGGTATGTTCATATTCTTCACCAACACCATAATTCATATGCATCAGTTTCTCTTTGGTCTTCCTTATTTATTGTCTACCTTTCACATGCATATGAGGCTATTGAAAATACCATGGCTTGGGTCAGGCACACCTTAGTTCTAAACTTGACATCTTCACTTTTAACATGGTAAAGAGGTCTTTTATAGCAGATTTGTCCACTGCAATATGTTGCTTGACTTCTTGACTGTTTCTTCTGTGGCCATTGATTTGTGAATCCAAGTGAAATGATATCCTTGACATCTTCATTCTTTTCTCCATTTATCATGATGTTGCTTATTGGTCCGATTGTGAGGATTTTTGTTTTCCTTAAGTTGAGATGTAATCCTTATGGAAGGCTTTGATATTTATCAGTAAGTGCTTCAGGTCCTCTGCAATTTCAGCACGCAAGGTTGTGTCATCTGCATATGGCAGGTTGTTAATGAGTCTTCCTCTAATCCTGATCCTGCATTCTTCTTCATGTAGTCCAGCTTCTGGGATTATTTGCTCAGTATACAGATTGAGTAAGTATGGTAAAAGGATACAACCCTGATGCTCTCTTACCTGATTTTAAACTATGCAGTATCTCCTTGTTCTGTCAAATGACTGCATCTTAGTCTATGTAAAGATCCTGCATGAACACAATTAAGTGTTCTGAAAATTCCATTCTTCACAATTTAAAAGTCCCTAGGTAGTGCTCTGGTAGCATAGTGCCTAAGGCACTTGACTGCTAACCAGAAGGCTGGTAGTTCAAACCCACCAGCCACTCTTTGGAAGGAAGGTTGGGCAATCTACTTCCGTAGTGATACCACCTTGGAAACCCAAGGAGGGGTCACTATGAGTCGGGTCTGACTCATCGGTCTATAACAACAACAACAACAGGTGGTGCAAGGGGAGCTCTGGTGGTGTAGTGCCTAAGCCATTTGACTGCTAACCAGAAGGCTGGTGGTTCAAACCCACCAGCTACTCCATGGAAGAAAGACTGGGAAATCTATTTCTGTAAATATTTAATACCTCGGAAACCCAAAGAGGGTTGCTGTGAGTTGGAATCGACTCGATGGCAGTGAGTTTGGTTTTGAGGTGGTACAAGTAGTTTGCACTCAGCTACTAATCGAAGTATTGGTCATTCAAACTTGCCTAGCAGTGCTGCAGAAGAAAGGCTTAATGATCTGCTTCTGTGATAAACCAAGGAAATCATGTCAGAGAAGTTCTATTCTGTAACAAATGGGGCCACCGTTAGTTGGAATCAAATCATCAGCAATGTGTTTGGTTTGTTCTTTTGCTAGTATTTAATGTTATTTTTTAAATCTTTGGTAATTTAATAGAAGTAAAATGGCATTTTGCTGCTGTAGTAAGCATCTATGATTACTATAGAGGTCAAACTTTTAAGTTTTTTTTTTTTTT